GTGCCGCAGGGGGCAGGGCAGGTGCCCGAGCCGTTGTGCACGTGGGGGTCAGGGCACTGCATGCCAGCACGGGAGGAGGGGGAAAGAGGGTCTCTTATGTAACCTTGCAGGTGGGAGGGGGGTGAGTCCTGGAAGGCAGTGGGGGCCACAGGTGGCGGGCACGGGACCTAGGGTGGGCGGGGCAGCCCCTGCAGTGCAGTGTGGCGAGTTACTTTTTAATTTTTACAGCTTGAGCTTGGGCCCAATTGGGTCCAAAAGTACCTTAAAACCTTCTCCTGGATAAAAGGTTATCCCATGCAAAGTCTGGTTGTGGTAGCTCTTATAGTATCCATGTTATTAGCGCACAAACTTACAAACATTCTCCTTTATAGATTAGATAAGCTTTTGTGAGCAAAACCCCACTTCCGCAACTGATATTCCTGTTGGTGATACCAGAGCAGCAAGCACTGTTAGAAGACACGGATAGAGCAGTCAGGAGATTCAGAAGGAGACTGTACAGCACTGAGGATGGAGATAGATCTCCCATGGTCATTTGGTTGCATCTGTCTCCAGGTGGCTGTTCCTAGAGGTTCCTGCCACAGAACAGTGCTACTTGTTGGGAAACAAATTGGAGAGCGTCCTGGGGCAGGCCTTAGTGACCATGGGTTCACAATCCTCATCAGGTCAACAGCGGCACAGGGTGGAATTGTTCAGGCATACCGAGCACCCCTGGATCTGGGCTATGTAACTGACGCAATACTCAGACGTTCCTAGATTTCAAGACCAGAATGGTCTATTATGAGCATCCGGCCTGGCCTCCTATATAGTGGAGGTTGGAGACCATCCCCCAAATCCTTCCCAGAGCAGAGCTTTTTTTGGGGGGGTGGAAAGGGAGAGGGAGGGAACCCTCCAATTTTTTAGAAGCTGGTTATACCCTGACGCTGGAGAGTTAAGAGACTTTCCAAACTATGGGGGTTGGGAGCCCTGGTAGTGTGTGTTTGAACCCTGCTGTATTAATTCCGGACGTTATTGCTATCCATATAATTGCTCCATCTTTTTTATCCCATCTAAGCTCTGGTGGGGGGAGGGGCAGCAGCAGGAGTTGGGGGGGGCCCCCACAGTGGCAGGAGCTGTGGGAAGCAGAACGACCCAGCATCCTGTCCCTTTCTGCCGCCATCTCCCAGCGAAGTGGCTACGTTTCACTGCAGCAGTGGGAAGCGTAGTGACCCAGCCCCGGCCTGCTCCGCTCCACTGAGCCTGCAGAGCAGAATGGGGCCGGGTCGCTCTGCGTCTCATCACCATGGTGAACATGGGAGGGCCGACTCCTGCTGCCACCCTGCTCCAGGCCCCTCCCCAATAATCTTCCAGGTTGTCGCTCAGGGGAGGGGGCTTTAGGAAAGGGGTACAGTGGGAAGGAAGAGGCAGGGTGGAAGTGGGGACCTCAGATGAGGGGAAGGGGATTGCCTAAGACCCCACACTCCCCTAGGGATGTCCCTGACTGTAGTTAAAGATCTGTGGCTGGCTTCTGGCTGCTGATTCAAGCTTATGGCACTCAGGCAAAGGGGCTGTTCACTTGCTGTATAAACACCCTCCTCGCAGCGTCGGTCGCAGTTGTCATCAGACTTGGGGCCTGTCTCGCTCATTTGCAGAACCTGCAGCTGTGTGGGGCACCTGAAAAGTTGGGGCACCGCTGGGTCTTCATGTCCACCCATCCGCCTCTTCTTATCCTTGTTCTGTGGCTCTGCTTCCTCCGGAAAGGGTCTAGTTAACTTAACAGCGGAAAAGCCTGCCAGAACGATGAGCAGAACATTGAACCTGTGAAAGAGCCACTCAGGTGGTGGTGAAGCTTTTTAACAGGCACTGGCCAATTCCAGGTCTATCCTGTGAATTGCTGCATTGACTGTGTTTAGTCCACAGCATGGGTGTCAAACTCTCTGCCCATTGGCCAGACTTGGCCAGAATCATTGTGCAGTCTAGCCAGGGCTATTGTTGAGGCCAGGACTGGCCCATGGGCCAGGAGTTTGAGACCCTCCTGGTCGACAAGACCTTACTTTAACATTTGCCTTTTGGTGCTGGAGATTATAAAATCACATCTTTTAAAAAATCGTCCTGCCCCGGCTGCTCTCAGGCATAGAGGCACCAGTTTAATACTGCTGCGTAGGGCCCCATAAATCCTAAAGATGACCCTGCTCTCACTTTTGGGCCAGCATCAAAATGAAGACAAATGTGTATAGGCAGCGTGGTTTGTACCCAGGAGGAGGAGGTAGGTAGCATCTTAAATACTAACGAGCTGATAAGGTGTCTGCCATCTCTAACAAAACGTCGTAAAGGCTTTCGTAAATCGAAGAGGAGGGCTTGCTTCCTGCTAATGAACCTGGAGACCATCTGTTACCAACTGCATTGAATGAATGAATGAATGAATGAATGAATGAGCTCAGCAACTGTTTTGATTTGTGTGTTATCAGACAGTCAGGTTTTGTGTGTCTTACCCGGGCTCTGTAGGGGCACAAGATTGTTCCTACATCTCCGAGACAAGGATATACAATTACATAATTTACACCCTCACTCAGTCACTTCAATTAGAGAGGCTGCCAGTGGGGAACGGAGGACAAGACTTACAAATGCAGAGCCAAGAAAACTAGCGATACCATGACATGAGCTCGCTGCCTTTGGGGAAATATAATGGCATTAACAACTTCCGAACACGAAAAAGCATGCGTTCAAGCTGTGCATTATTGAGCAGCACAGGCTGGAGTGGAGGTAAACTCAGAAGTTTCTGCTTGTCTGAACTAAGAACTTGGAGAGCCAAATACAAGAAAGATTTAAAGGGGGGGGGGAGAGGGAGAACTAAAAATAAAGGAATGGCAAAGAGGAAACATAAGGATGAGCAGAAAACAGCTGGAGATTTCACTCTCAATTCTTTTATTAATTATAATTCTGCATTATTCACACAGCACAGTGACTGTGCATGGTAAAAGTCAACACACAGATTCTCTGCCAATGAGGCAATTGAAGATGTGAGGAAGAGCTCACAGCATGGCAGGAGGTAGGGAACAAAAGTGGAAGAAAAGGCAGTAATTCCTGGTCGCTATCAACTTGGACCATGTTCAAGATGGAGACTTGGAAATTAAAGGCTTCATACAGTACAGGGTGAGAAATGATTTAACTGTTAAATGAAAATTATCAAGATTTAAAAAAAAAATCTCCTGTCCTAAAGGAGGATAGAAATTCAAAATCTCCAAAAAATTGGTTTTTATTTTATTTTTTAATGTAATCAAAATTTCATTTTGGCTTAATTTTGACTTTTAAAAATGTGAATTCTTGTTTGCTATAAGTTAACTAAAATTTCAAAAGAATGTTTCAAAACACCTTGAAAAAGCAAAAATGATTTTTTGAAAATCTCATTTTCCCATTTTGACAACTTTTTGTTTTTCTTTTCTTTTTTCTTTTCTCTTTCAAATTGGAAGATTCATTGACACTGACCCTTTCCTGTGAAGAGTTTTGACAAATTTGTGGTTTCCATCAGAGAAAAGTTTTGTTGGGAAAATTCTGGACCAGCTCTCCTTACGCACCACACCCTCTTTTTTCTTAATCTCCTAGCTACAACTAGCTGGAAAATACCACTTATGTTTTGGTGGGACGATTTTTTTAATGTTTCTTATTTTCCTTTGTAAATATTCCAATTTGCAGCAGATTTTTGAAAACCCAAATCACAAAAAAAGTTTTATTCACAGTGCAACTGGTTGATTATGAAATCAAAAGCTAAAAAGAAATGACTGAATGTTTTGGCTTCGAGTTTTTAATGAAAAATCAAATATTTGAACCAAAACAAAATTTTGTCCCACCAAAATTTTGGCAGTAGTCAAAATGCCTTTTTTTGTTAAATGGGGGTGGGAACCAACACTCTATCCTGGCTTTTAGCCTTTCTCTCTGATTTTGATTACGGTTCAGGCACTTCTAATTTCTGTCAGGGGTAAGAGACAGAAAGTTGGGGATGGCAAAACATGGTGGGAGGGAGAGAGAAACTTATGACCAAATATTTCTGGAACTCTTACTACATCAGAGCAGCCCTGGTTTCAGCTCCAACATAATCCACTGGTGTCTCCCCAGCAGTAAAATGGGGAACCACGGAAGCACTCCTTCTCAGATGCCTCGTTTCTTATTTTATGTGTCACCACAAAGATGGATGGCAGAACAAGGAGCAATAGTCTCAAGTTACAGGGGGAGAGGTCTAGGTTGGGTATTAGGAAAACCAATTTCCCTAGGAGGATGCTGAAGCACTAGAATGGGTTATCTAGGGAGGTGGTGGAATTTCCATCCCTAGAGGTTTTTAAGTCCTGACTTGACAACGCCCTGGCTGGGATGATTGAGTTGGGTTGGTCCTGCTTTAGGCAGGGGGTTGGACTCAATGACCTCCTGAGGTCTCTTCAGACCTATGATTCTGTGGGAATCTGTCTCTGTGGACCTGCCAGCCATCTTTGGGCTGGATGATTAAGTCAAAACAAAACGTGCACATCTGTGTACACCCCCAGTGAGAGGCTGTGTTCCTGAGCTCCCCCAAGCTTCCTGGAGAAATTGAGAGAGGAACCTGCGTGCAGTTTGGAAGACATGCACATTCCCATTCACTGTTAAACCCTGGGGAGTCCTGGCCAGTGCCCCCTGTAAGTGGAGCACTTGGATGGTCACCCAGGAAAGAGTCAAATGCCACGCATCTGATTATCAGAGTGCCCAGAGTTGACAGCATGTGTTTCTACTGGAGGTGCACATCACACGTGCTTCAGTGCACATCACACAATTTATTCCACACATGGGTGGAAAAAATTAGAGAGAACCCTGGTCATGGCTGTAACTAGTGGTGTACTCAGCTGTAAATATGGAGAAATGGAGATTAGTTTACCTTTTTTTTCAAACCTCTGTCTATAGCCCTAATATAGCTTTGAAATGAGTTGGCTTTTCCTCTGGGAGAGGGCACTTCTGAACCTTCATGTTGTTGGCAACTCTACTTTGGTTCTGTCTTGCAGGAGGGATTTTCGAGTACGCAGATGGCCCCAACGCCCAGGTGATGAGTGCCGAGGAACAAGCCTTTAGATTTTCTGCCAATATTATCAATAGGAATAGAACGCTGTTGCCTAACACAACATTGACCTATGACATTCAGAGGATACACTTCCATGACAGTTTTGAAGCCACTAAGAAAGGTAAGTAGAGAGCGTGTTTCTCTTCAGCTGAGTGGCGATCCGTTTGGTGAAGCAATACTGGTGGGCTTGAGTAGAGGCAGACTGCTCGCTGCTCCCCTGGTGCACACCTAGCATTGACCTTCAAGGTCTTTAATACCTTTAATTAATTAATGATGTCATCTCTCCTCCCCATTTCCATTTTGCTCCATGTCAGCTGAAGGTGCTCAGACTTGTGACTGAGCTATGCATGTAGCAAACTTAAATAACGTTGGAGCCTTGCAATCCGTGATGCCCATGGTGCATTGCTGGAGATGTCCTGCATATAACCACTTGGATGACACCTTTTGGCAGCATCCTTCTTGGGAGTTCTGGTGTGCAAGGCAGGGAGGAATGCTAGATCCTGCCTGGAATGCTATAAGGCTGTGTCTACACTGGCATGATCTTGCACAAAAGCGGCCGCTCTTGTGCAAAAACTTGCTGCCTGTCTACACCGGCCGCGTATTCTTGCGCAAGTAAACTGACGTTCTAATGTATGAAATCAGGGCTTCTTGCACCAGAACTCTGATGCTCCCGCTCAGGAATAAGCCCTTTTGTGCAACTGTTCTTGCGCAAGAGGCCAGTGTAGACAGGCAACATGAATTTCTTGCGCAAGAGGAGGGCTTTAAACTAGGTTTGTTGGGGGCAGGTGAGCAAAGCCCACAAGTAAGTGCTGCATCTGCGGGACTGGGAGATGGGTTGGAAATGGGGGGGACTACGGCCTATAATGGCAAGGAGAAAGGAGGGTCAGGGCACAACAGGGAGGCAAGATCAAATCAGTATCTTAGATGCCTATATACAAATGCGAGAAGAACTGGAATTGCTAACCAATAAATACAACTATGATATCATTGGTATTACAGAAACCTGGTGGGATGGGACGCATGATTGGAATGTTGGTATGGAAGGGTACGGCTTGCTCAGGAAGGACAGACAGGGAAAAAAGGGAGGAGGGGTTGCCTTGTATATTAAAAATGTACACACTTGGACTGAAGTGGAGATGAATGTAGGAGATAGCTGTGTAGAGAGTCTCTGGGTTAAGCTAAAAGGGGTAAAAAACGAGGGTGATATCATGCTAGGAGTCTACTACAGGCCACCTAGCCAGGTGGAAGAGGTGGATGAGGCCTTTTTTAAACAATTAACAAAACTATCCAAAGCCCAAGATTTGGTGGTGATGGGGGACTTCAACTATCCAGACATTTGTTGGGAAACTAACACAGCGGGGCACAGGCTATCCAATAAGTTTCTGGACTGCATTGGAGACAACTTTCTGTTTCAGAAGGTTGAAAAAGCTACCAGAGGAGAAGCTGTTCTGGATTTGGTTTTAACAAATAGGGAGGAACTAGTTGAGAACTTGAAAGTGGAAGACAGTATAGGGGACAGTGATCACGAAATAATAGAGTTCATGATCTTAAGGAAAGGTAGAAGGGAGACCAGCACAATTGAGGTAATGGATTTCAGGAAGGCAGATTTTGATAAGCTCAGAGAACTTGTAGGTAAGGTCCCATGGGAAGCAAGACTGAAGGGAAAAACAACTGAGGAGAGTTGGAAGTATTTCAAAGGGACGTTGTTAAGGGCCCAAAAGCAAACAATTCCGCTGTGTAGGAAAGATAGAAAATATGGCAAAAGACCAGCTTGGCTTAACAAGGAGATCTTGCACGATCTCAAAATAAAAAAGGAGTCATATAAAAAATGGAAACTAGGACAACTAACAAAGGATGAATATAGGCAAGCAACACGGGAATGCAGGGGCAAGATTAGAAAGGCAAAGGCACAAAATGAGATCAAACTAGCTACAGGCATAAAGGGAAACAAGAAGACTTTTTATAAATACATTAAAAGCAAGAGGAAGACCAAGGACAGGGTAGGCCCACTGCTTAGTGAGGAGGGAGAAGCAGTAACAGGAAACTTGGAAATGGCGGAGATGCTCAATGACTTCTTTGTTTCGGTCTTCACCGAGAAGTCTGGAGGTGTGCCTAACGTAGTGAATACAAGCAGAGAGAGGGTAGGTTTAGAAGATAGGATTCACAAAGAACAAGTTAAAAGTCACTTAGGAAAGTTAGATGTCAGCAAGTCACCAGGTCCTGATGAAATGCATCCCAGGATACTCAAGGAGCTGATAGAGGAGGTATCTGAGCCTTTAGCTATGATCTTTGAAAAATCATGGCAGACAGGGGAGATTCCAGAAGACTGGAAAAGGGCAAATATTGTGCCCATCTATAAAAAGGGGAATAAGAACAACCCAGGAAACTATAGACCGGTCAGTTTAACGTCTGTCCCAGGGAAGATAATGGAGCAGGTAATTAAGGAAATCCTATGCAAACACTTGGAAGGTAATAAAGTGATAGGGAATAGCCAGCATGGGTTTGTGAAGAACAAGTCATGCCAAACTAATCTGATAGCTTTCTTTGATAAAATAACGAGCCTTGTGGATAAGGGAGAAGCGGTGGATGTCATATACCTAGACTTTAGTAAGGCATTTGATACGGTCTCGCATGATATTCTTATTGATAAACTAGGCAAATATAACTTAGATAGGGCCACGATAAGGTGGGTGCATAATTGGCTGGATAACCGTAGTCAGAGAGTTGTTGTTAACGGTTCTAAATCCTGCTGGAAAGGGATAACAAGTGGAGTTCCTCAAGGATCTGTTTTGGGACCCGTACTGTTCAATATCTTCATCAATGATGTAGATATTGGGATAGAGAGTACGCTTATTAAGTTTGCGGATGATACCAAACTGGGTGGGGTTGCGACTTCTTTGGAGGATAGGGACATAATTCAAAATGACCTTAGCAAGTTAGAGAAATGGTCAGAAGTAAACAGGATGAGGTTTAATAAAGAGAAATGCAAAGTGCTCCACTTAGGAAGGAACAATCAGTTCCATACATACAAGATGGGAAGCGACTGTCTAGGAAGGAGCATGGCAGAAAGGGATCTAGGGGTCATAGTGGACCACAAGTTGAATATGAGTCAACAGTGTGATGCTGTTGCCAAAAAAGCAAATATGATTCTAGGTTGTATCAACAGGTGTGTTGTAAGCAAAACTCGTGAAGTCATTCTGCCGCTCTACTCTGCACTAGTTAGGCCTCAGCTGGAGTACTGTGTCCAGTTCTGGGCGCCACATTTCAAGAAAGATGGGGAGAAATTGGAAAGGGTACAGAGAAGAGCGACAAGAATGATTAAAGGTCTAGAGAACATGACCTATGAAGCCAGGCTTCATGAACTGGGCTTGTTTAGTTTGGAAAAAAGAAGATTAAGGGGGGACATGATAGCGGTTTTCAAATATCTAAAAGGGGGTCACAAGGAGGAAGGAGAAAATTTGTTCCTCTTGGTTTCTGAGGACAGGACAAGGAGTAATGGGCTTAAAGTGCAGCAGGGGAGGATTAGATTGGACATTAGGAAAAAATTCCTAACTGTCAGGGTGGTCAAATATTGGAATAAATTGCCAAGGGAGGTGGTGGAATCTCCCTCTCTGGAGATATTTAAGAACAGGTTAGATAGACATCTGTCAGGGATGGTGTAGGTGGAGCTTGGTCCTGCCTTGAGGGCGGGGGGCTGGACTCGATGACCTCTTGAGGTCCCTTCCAGTCCTATTATTCTATGATTCTATGATTCTATGATAAGAAAGCCCTATGGTTAAAATGGCCATCAGAGCTTTCTTGCGCAAAAGCACATGCCAGTGTAGACGTTCTCTTCTATAAGAATTTTTGCCCAAAAACTCTTCTGCAAAAAGCTTCTTGCACAAGAAGTCGACAGTGTAGACGTAGCCTTATAAGAGTATGCTCCGCGGACACAGGCAGAGCCTGTAAAATCTTGGCCCTGCACTGCAGTGAGAAAAGGTGGAGAGCTACAGGAACCCCAAGCCAGCCAGACAGGAGCTTCCATGTCTTCTGTAGCCTGTGCAATAGTTTCTTTATTCAAACAATCAATCAAAGGGACAAGTGGTGAAGCCCACTGTCACTTTTTTATGCAAATGTTTCTATTTAATTGAACCTCATGCAGCAGGAAACTCCAAGGTGCCACCAAAGATGCTGGTGGCAGAAACTAAAAGAATCCTGACTCACTAGTCAGGATCTTCCCACTTCAGAGGGAAAGTGGCCACCGACTTATTGGATTTTAAGAGTGTTTTTCCTGGAATTCTCAGAACTGTTGAAGCACCCGGTATGAGGCCTGCTCCTACAGCTGACTTGACTAAAGCACCAAGAAGTCAAGTGAATTCCAGATCAAAAGCCTTGTAAATCAGATGCTCAGCCTTGCATCTCCCACTGCTTTAACCTACACCGGTCACTAGACTATATCTTCTTCACCCCGCTAACCATACACAGCTCACCTATTTCTCATCCAACTCTAAAGTTCACAAGGCTTTTGAGAAGCTCCACTTAGACATGACATAAATAGAATATGACAAGTAAATAAAGTTTGGATTTTAAACCTCTCCTCATGTTTAATTAATAGGCACTTCCCAGTACATTTGCATTACTAGATCATGTCTGGGACCTCTCTGCGATGAAACAGAGTCCCCCTCTTCCCGACCCCCCAACCCATTAGAAGAAAGATAAAGCGTGTGCAGTGAAATGATAGACTATGCCATTATTAAATGGTTTTTACTATTGTTGTATGTGTGGCTATTCTGTAATAGTTGAGGTGCTGGATTTGTGAACCTTTTAAAAGCCCATACATGTGGATCCTGAAAAACTTAGCAATTGATACACATGCACAATGTTGGGTCCCCACCCCAACATACACAGTAACTGATTATTTTTTTTAAAAATCATGAAAGTTTTGACAATTTTTTTTCTTACTTTTTCAGTTGAAATTCAAGATGTTGATGACAGATTTCATCAACATTTCACATTTTGGGTTTTTTAATGTGGTATAGTCTGCAAAACTGAAAATCTCACCCAAATCAGTTCCATCTTTTTGGAGTATTTTGGCAGCAGAAGACTGATTCACGAAACATTTCAAGACTCTCAGAAAAACTTCTGAGTTGGGTTCTAGTTACTGGAATGCTATAAGAGTATGCTCCACAGACACAGCAGAGCCTGTAAAATCTTGGCCCCGCACCACAGTGAGAAACGGTGGACAGCTGCAGTAACCCCAAGCCAGCCAGACTAGAGCTTTTCCAGGCCACAAAATGAGTGTAATTTGTTGTATCCCAACTAGTTTACATAAGAACGGCCGTACTGGGTCAGACCAAAGGTCCATCTAGCCCAGTAGCCTGTCTGCCAACAGTGGCCAGCACCAGGTGGCCCAGAGAGGGTGGACCGAAGACAATGATCAAGCAATTTGTCTCCTGGCATCCTTCTCCAGCCTTTGGCAAACAGAGGCAGCATTGCATAAGCTCCTCACAATTTGGACACTGAACAGCCTTATGCCCTTGTTCCCCCATAAGCACAGCACATACATAGTCCTGGATATCCCCCTAGTCTTTGGGCTACTAAGCTTTACCCCATGGCCTTCTTTCCCCATTTCCCTAAGTCCCTTCACAGCTTCAGGGCCGTCTTCAGCATTGTTCCTCCCCAGTGTATTCCTACCTGAACTCTCAGAGGCACGGACCTTCTGGACTGTGGCTGCTTTCCTAGTGTGGTGCATCTCTTCTCTGGTAGTCTGAGAAAGCTCCCTGGCCATTTA